TTTAGATTTGATTTTTTAAGTTTAAGAGTATAATGTAATATCTTCTCGCATGTAATATCTTCTGAAAAAAGTCCAATGTCATATGGGTGGGAAGTAACACTTTGAGGGCCACTTTCTCATTCATCAGATTTTGATGTGCTAGAAACGTTTTCTTCAACGGAAGTATCACATTTCTGTTCAACAGAAAAACTTACATTGGTACTAGATGCTGAAACCTCATTAATTTCAGGTCGTGATTTTTTCTCAAAATAATTATAAATTGTTAAATTTTTGCGTTTTGATATCCTACAGGTCCAAGAACAGCAAATATATATATTAGCACAGAAATATATGCTATACTACGATCTTAAAGTTTCGAGCTGGAATGAATAACTTCAACGAGCTCAGTATCTCCAATAGTATTGTTACTGATTTCTTCACTAGTCGAAATAACGACGACGACGGGTTCGGCGATTGAATTAACTTTTTGTTAAGACAAAACAAATCAGATTTAGCAACGAGCTCCGAAAGACAAACGGCAGAGATAACTCTTAGTCTGACTAACTAACTCCACTGTTCTCCGTTCCCTCTTTTATATAAATTTTCACCGCAACTCCAAAATTCTCGAATTGTCTCAAACACGACACCATTTTGTCTGAGCTCAAGGGGGGAGTTTAAACCCCTAAACCCCTCCCTTGCGTACGCCACTGATGTAACCTCTTTAATAGTTCACGCAACATCATTTGTCAGTTATAGTAATTACCACCTTCTATTTTCTATTTATGGCAAAATATATGAGGAACACACATTGCCTCTCCATATTAATTACCTTGATACAATTTTTGAAAAAATGAAACTAAAAGAAAGTTTTTAAATTTTACAACAGGAAATAATGTTGCAATGGTATTATACTTTTTCCCCAACATTATAAATAAAATAATTTTCAAAAAATTATTTATTGAATGCAAGATAAGCTCATTGCAACAATGTTTTAGCATAAGTCTTTTTTTACATAAAATCAACTACTTATTAAAAATTTCCTTTAAAAAAACTAGGATCATGTTAATTGTATTTAATAAATTGAATTTTATAACTTTTCATTTTTGATTTTATAACTTTGATTTTAAAAGATTTTGAGCACTACAAGAAAAATTAATTTAAATCTATGTATATATCTATAAAAGGTTTGATAATCATGAGATGCTACAGATAAATACAAGCCGAATTTTTAAGAAAATTTGACATCTTATTCAATCTTTTAATGTTATATAAAATATTGTGAGAAGCAAACCCGTTAGGATTAAACAAATTTTAAGTTTCAAAATTTTATTTTTGGATTAATAAGTGTTATTTAAAATGATTTTGACTACTATGTGATATAATAAAAAACTCAAACATATATGTATAAAATATATTTGATAATCATGTGATGATATATGCAAATATTGCTAAATTTTAAAACAAATTCATTAAATCAATTATTATTATACTACAACATTTTAAATAGTGTCAGCAGCTCTGTTGTAGTATGGAAAATGAAGATAACATAATTTTCAATGCTATTAAATCACATTTCAAACACTGCATGATTTAAGTATCTAATATAGCATTGTATAATATTATGGAAGCAACTTTTTACTGTCTTTATAAGATCCTTAAAATTAATGTTTACATGTGCTATAAACTAAAATGACAAAGCATCTGACCAAGCATATACCACACAATAACAATGTAAAAGAAAATCAATATTCTGAAAAATAGTGGTTTAAAAAAAGAGAAGTACCAGTCGGTTTTTTTTTCTTTTCTTATCTCACAGTAAAAACAAAGAAATAATTATAAAAATTGTTGGTTTGAAATCAATGGCAATAGAACTAAATACAGCTACAACTACAATAAATACTCACTATAAAGTACACAAAACATTGCTATAAACTGTGTCTGATGATGAAACAAAAAATAGAAGAAGAAAAATAAAACAAAAGAGAAAAAGAACAAAAACAAAAGGTAAATTAATGAGGATATAAAAGCAAATAATGACAAAGTATACAAACAAAACAAAAGAAAGAAAAATGAGAAGAAAAAAAAGATAGAAAGAAAACAATGAAGAAAAGTATACAAAAGAGAAAGTAAGAATGAGAAGAAAATTAAAGGGAGAGGAAAAACAAAACAACTCAGAGAACAATGAAACAAACATATCAGAAAAGAAAAGAAGAATGTGTAAACAAATAAAAGAGACAGAATTGTAAAGTGAAAATATAAAAGAAAAACAAGGAAAAAAATGGAATCAAATATGAAATATCACTAGTGCACCTTGTGAATAAATTTTACAAAAAGCGTCAGATTATAATTACGAGAAATTATTGTGAAAATTTTCGATAACAATTAAAAAAAATTTAATTACGTCATTTTAGTAAAATTTTTAATTTATCATTTTAATTTATTTTTTAATATATAAATGTATATATACACAGTGAAACCTCTGTTAAATGGTCGTTCTTGGGAGTGACAAAATTGTCAGCTTACGAGAGTTGTCCGTTTACGGGAAGGGTAGGCTAATAACAAATTTTAACGCCCTAAATTGCTTTTAGAATAATTGCATTTATATAGAAAAAATTAACTTATCTACAATAATTATTTACAATGATATTCATTTAAACTTTTAAAAAAAAATTTCAATACAAAAATATAGATATTAAAACTCTTGATATATATGTACAGGGTTATTCATAATTCCCTCTGCCAGTAAATGCCATTTTTCTTTACTACAACTGGCTTCAGTGGTACATGTTACTGCAATCTACAGGCAACTGCTTAAATTAAAACTTGAATACTTTCAGAATAATTTCATATGTTCTTTTTTGTCATATTTGTCTTCGCTTTTTTACTATAACGCTTCAAAACCCCGGAGGGAATTGTGAATAACCCTGTATACATAATTCCAGATGTAGCTTCAGAGAAATGATTATGTTCTTCCTATTCACACAGACATTCAAGTTAGTCATATGATACCAAATAGACGCTTTTAGTCCCACGTTACTTCCTCAGATGGTTTGATTATTAGGTTTACACCACCCCAGCACTTGGTAAGAACTGTGGTATAATATCTCCTTCAAATTAAACCTCCCTCTATGCACAGAAAAATAAGAAATCAATGCATACCTATAAAGCATGAAGCTCTATGGAGTTGTCCTATTCACAATTGATCATCTGTCAAATTTAAATAAATGTTTCACTTATATGGATGCCTTGATGACTAGATTTCTGTTTCCCTCCTTTCTTTGTAAAGATAAACGAAGGTGAAAGGAGAATGATTAATTCTTTAGTGGTGAAATAGCTTAATATTTTTAGTTGTGGATAAGATAAAAAAAAAATATTCCTTGAAAATGGAGGAAAGTTTCATGTTTTTTTCCTTAGAATTTAAAGGAAAAAGAGTTTTTTCCATTTCAAATTTAGAAAATTGGTGTTCGGTTCGTAGAGATAAAAAAAAACGTTTCAGGGCATAAATGACAGTCCACGTTCGGTCGCTGGAGTGTCTGTTTACTGGAGAAGGTGCATAATGGATTATTCATAGAAGATTCACTAGGAATTAAAATAATGGTTCATAATGAGAAGCGCCCGTTTCGTAGGAGTGCTCGTAATGGGAGGTTTCACTGTATATGTACACCTTAGATTACTTTGAAAAAAGATAAATGACAAACTAAAAAACACACAATATGCACAACTTAAGTTTAAAAAAACTCAAATCTTATCACAAATATAATTTTGACATTATTTAGAACAGATAATTTCAACAGTTTCCCGTTTTATTTTATTAAGAAAGCACTGAGCAACTTATGATAGTTTGAGATCAATGTATCAAAATTTTTTATAGAATTATATATATAACTTCTTATAGAAGAAATTAATTAGCATAAACTAGGCATTATTCCCTCACCTATATTTAATTAAATTTGTTATCAAGTTTAAGTTTTCCTTAATCAAATAATTTTAAAGAGTCTCAGTAACAAAAACACAGCGAATAAAGCTACTATACATTTTTGTATAAAATTTAGTGAATGATACTTCAATTCCCCATAAAAAAATGCTATAAAATGATTGGAATCGGTTATTTCTAAAATCACATGAATTAATAATTTTGAAACTACTAAACTCCACTTAAGATTTGTTATAGCATTTGTTTAAAATAATAAATAAGGGTATGACACCTGACTTCTTCCCCATAAAAATTTGAAGATGGAAACTGTTAAATGAGTTTCTATAGCATAAAATTACTGAATTCCCAAAAAATTTGAAACAATGTATCCTAGGCTGCATGCATGAACCATGTATAAAACTATCGGATGATTACTACCATCAAATTTCGATTAATTAGTATTAATTATTAAAATAAAAAGACGAATCAGAAATCTAACTCTTTTGATTCCTCAAATCGATTATTTTAAAATCCGTTGTTAGATTAATGGAAAATGGAATGTTCCAAAAATCAGGGATATCAAGAGGAAAAGAAAAAAAACAAGACAAATAAGGACAAAATGTTTTTAATCAGGAAAATCAGGACACCTACAAACCCTGAAGTACATTCAGAGACATAATTTTCAGTGAAAAATCAATACTCTTGCTTTTAAATTGCAAATTTATCTATAGATTGTCAGATAGCTGTGAAGGTTAGGTATTCCTAAAAAATGAGTACTATAGTAACAAACTTCCCTCAAAATTAAAAAAAATGTTTAAGTGAATATCATAGATTATTGATACTGACATTAACTCTCCAATCGTTGAATGTCTGGATAAATTTCTATGGACAGTTCCCCGTTACACACTACAATCCTATTGAGTAACAAGGTAAAAACTGATTTTCTGATGCAAGAAAGCCTGCATCTAAAAGTTCTGAAAATTCTAGAACTAACAATTAAGTTAACATAAATTAATAATTAGTATGATAGATTTATCATAAATTTATAATATTAATGCATAAATTTATAACAGTATGATAGATTAATGATAATCAACAGATTACTTACCCTGCATTAATTACAGACCTCCACCACCATTTATAATCTTCAGCAGAAAGTTGGAAATAGGTAAGAGCAATAGATATACAAGCAGTTACACTCAATAATATGAAGAAAACAATAAATAGCACACCATATAACGTATATTGCTCTCGTCCCCAAACTGTAGCAAATATGTAATACAGCTCCACTGATATTGCACTACAAAAAACAAAATTTAACGATCATTTATCTCTATTTAAGACAATTAAGTCAACAGGGTTATTAAAAAATTGTTTTAGCCAACTTTATTATACAAAGAACACATAAAGAGCTTTAGGAAATATAATGATAAATCCAATTTTTAAATAGTTCAAAGAAAACTTTTTGGGTAAAAAAATAAATAAAATAAAACATCAAAATTTTTATGCTGACAATGTGTTTAGGGCCATTGTGCTGTTATCTAGCGGAAAGTTTGAAAACTTGTAAAGTTCCCACATAGAAATAATACTAAGGAACAGTTTTATGTAAAAATAGTAATAAATGTAAAGGCTTATGTAAAAAATTGGGCTTATCAATATTTTGACCTAAAACCTTCATATGCAATAAAACTTTTTTAAAGTAGAAAGGAAAAAACAATAAAGACATTTTTTTGAAAAATAAATACAATACACATAAGTAAAATAAAGGGGTACATTCAATTTCTTCAATTTTAAAATTCTCTAAAATTATTATAATAAATGGGTTAACAAATTTAATGACAACTTTAGTATAAGAAATAAATACAAGAAGAATTTAAACAATTTATGTTTATTTAATTATATATTTATTTAATTTTATGTTTCTACAAAAATCATGTGATTTCAAAATTGTGTTTTGAATAATTTTTTAATACATAAAAGGATTATAGAAAATAGTGAAAACATAAAACATGTTTGATTTGAATGGCACAAAAGCTAGAATAGACTATATTGTGAACAGTATATGTACAGTGGGCCAACAAAAAACTTGATCTAATGATCGGATTTTCCCATTCTAGAAATCAATCTTAATAGTTCAAGGCGGTGTCCTCAATTATACTAATTAATAAGTGCAGGCAATATTTAAAGTTGCAAAATATGACAGAAAAACGTACTTTCTCTGAATATACATATCTTTTTTTCCACAGATTCAGATTTCTGACCCCCAAAATATAGAAGGTAGGTACCAAAAAGTTTGGTCAGGAGAGCGCTCTAAAGTTTGAACATGTTAATTTTATTTTTTGCATATTTCGCTATAGCTCGAGAATTTCTTAAGTGAATAGAAAACTTTTTATACACAATCATAAAATTCATTGATCCAAAGATAATTCTATGCCCAAAATAACTTTTAGTAAATATATATTATTTTTTATGATTTCGTTTAAGAATGGTAGAAAAAAGTTTAAATTGTAAGGTATACAATTTTTTGTATCCTTTTAAAGAATGTAATTTTATACAACAAAATATAAATTTGAGAGAAATTGTTTTAATAGTTCCTGAGAAATTAAATTTAAAAAAAAGTCAGATACTTAAAATTTAGAACGTGCATCAAGGTATTTGTTTTTTCTTTGAATGTGCACTTTGAGCTATGTCCAACAAAAATAAGATTTTTGATAACATAACCATTTGATATAATTTAAAAATTTTCAACAAGAGCTTAAAAGATGCATAAAATTTACCTTGGTGTATCGAAATTTCTTGGAAGTTAAACATTAAAAGATTAAAGTACATTAATATCATTACCAAAAATACCATTAATATCAAAAATAAGAAAACATTAATACCCTTTAAAAAATTAAATAACACTAAAAAATTATTACTAACTTTAACTATATTTGCTTTATATCTCTTTAATTGCATTTAAATTAAGGAAAAACTATCCAATTCCTACACTTAAACTTAGATTTGCTTGATTAAAGATTTTTCAAAATGCATTTCTGTAATAGGTAGAAAGATAAGAAACTTTTCTATTAACAAGATTCTTTGTTTTACTTATAAAAAATATCGCTTTTACAATCTATTTGTTTATTACAAACTTATAACTATATATGTGGACAATAATTTTTTTCCTTGAGTTTTGCAGATAAATTAGTTTATTGAAATTCAAATCAGAATGAATAATGTTTAACAGAAGCTATGAGTTATTAAAACAATTAGCTATCTTAAAATTTGAATTTAAACAAGTGATTATAAATAAATTATTTTACACAGACAAAATGATTATCAAATAAAAATTTTCATATAAAAATCCCAGCTTAATGCAATAGGGTTTACATTTTTAAACATTGTACCAAATATTAAGTGAAAAAAGATTTTGAGACCTATATTTTAATTTTGAAAGTAACTTAGAAAATATGTTTACCTAAAGGGTAAAAATCCCCCAATCGCACACTGTGCTGGTGCAGAATGATACCATTTCACAGGGGGCACTTCTCGTGGAATGTGTTTTGTACGACATGGTATGTCAAAATTACCAGTCCAGTTTTTTCCTAAAACTCCTCCAAGGACACTTAGAGGGTAACCAACTAAAAGAAGAAAAGTAATAATTTAATTTATTGTCAACAAAAATCTTGCTATTTGACAAAGACAAAAAAATTAAACTTACTGCACAGCCAAACTCCCAGTAGTAAAATAATTGTACTAAAAGGAAGAGCTTGAGTTGAGTTGTATGCCCAAGCTATACTATTCTGAATACTCCAAATTATAAAAAATGGCCCTAAAACAATTATAAAAGCATTGAAATACATATTTATTTAGCGAAAAAAAAATTTATTAAAATTTTTGAGAACAACAGAAGCCTTATTAAATGACTATCACAAGATTGGGAGCATTAATTTTTTATGAGTATAAACATTAAATGACAATTTTTTTTATTAAATAATTAAAATATATATATATATAGCTTGAATTAGTTAAGAATCAAATNTTGGTTGCCAAAATGTCATTCCGTCACACAAGTAAAAAGTTCATAAAATTAAAAATAAAAAAAATACAAAATTCTTTTTTTTTAGTTTATGAATCACATTATACCAATAATAATGATATGCATGAGAAAAAATCATGTTTATTTGAAATTAGATGCATAGAAACTTCAATTAATTGTCATCATGCAAGTCAAAATGTCATTCCGTCACATATGGAATTGCCCATAAACATTAAATGACAATTTTTTTTATTAAATAATTTTAAAAAAAAATATAGCTTGAATTAGTTAAGAATCAAATTATGTGAATGCCTACATAATGAAACAAAAGTAGTAGCTGTCATTTTGCTACTACTTTAAAAATAAAAATTAACTTAATAAAATTAAATAAAAATTTAAATCTGTAAAAGTTGGTTGCAATGTTAATATATAAAAGTAAATCAGTAATTTAGTTTAATTACACTGGACAATCATAAAACACAGAAATCAGCAATAACTAGTATTTAATATTTATGTATATAATCTGAAATTTTGTGTTGATTTAGGAAAATGAATTGACTTAAGACACTTCAAGGTAAATTTTTTGGACAGCATTTATGAAATAACTGAAATTCTTAAGAAGAGTTTAGTTGATAGTACAACAGCTTAGAAAAAGCTAAGTTGATAACTGAGTTAGAATTAGAATAAGAAGAATTAGAATAAGAAGAATTTAATTTAATAATGAAAAAGCTTGGGAAAATTCAGATGATAACTTTGTAGTCAAAGAAAATTTAGTTAATATCTGAGTGGCTTTGAAAAAGTTAGTTAATAACTGAGAACCTCAGGAAGAATTTATTTGATAACTGAACAATTGTCAATCTTAGTTGTACAAGATTGTATTAGCATTGAGGTAAAAAACTGACTAGGTCACTAAACAAGTAAGTCCTCTTGCAAAACTAAGTTTTAAAAAAAAATTAATTATCCAACATTAGTTGATTTTCAATGTTAAAAAGACAAACATCTTGTTTATTTAAAAATGTTTAATGGTAGTAAAATATAAATAGGGGTAACAAAAATAATTTATAAGCATATTTTCTTTAGTAATTTTACTGAATTTCACACAAGTCAGAAATAATTTTGACTAAAACATAACCTACCAGAAAATAAAAATGATGTTAGATTAATGTTCCACACCCACAGTTTACCACCCATTTTCTTATACATGGATGCAGATACATAACCAGCTATACCTATAAAAGAAATGTAAGAACCTGCTATAAAAAATAAGTTTACACAGACTGTTGAAGTTGAAAAAAATTTTTAACAAAAAAATAGATATTTATTTATTACTATTTTTTAAAAAAAAGGTTAAATATTGAAGAAAAAGTAAGTTTTTTTTGCATATCAATCCTTTATGAAGTAGGAACATTATGTGATATAAAATGAAGTGCATAATTAATAGAAACATTTAGTAATTTAATGAATAATCTATAACATTAGCATAAAACATAAACTTTATAACATTTTTAATCATGATATGTTCAATTGCTAGTGTGTAAAAGAAAATAAGGTCAAAAATCACATAAGTGTTTTTAATAATTATAGAATTTAAAATATTTATTAGATAGGATTTAAGTCTAGAAATATAAAATTTTAATTAAAAGTACTACATTAATATTGAATGAATATATATATTAGCCAATTGATCCTGGTCCTACATTAAAAAAATGATAATAATGAGTTTCACAATACAGTAGGGAACCGATTATCCGGAATGATCGGGACCATCGCTATTCCGGATAACTGATTTTTCCGGTTTTCTGAATCGCTACAAAAAGCCGTTTTTTTATTGTTAAACCCAACTAAAAAGAGAAAAATATTTAGAAATAATCTTAAAAAGAAGAAAAAACGATGAAGTAATACACTAATGATTATTTCTAAAATGATGGTAAGGTAAACATCTTTCAAAAAAGAAAGAAAAATCCTAAAATCTTATAAAAAATTTTTTTTAAATAGCGGGAAAATTTATCGAATTTCGTTCCGGTTTTTTGGTTTTCCGGTTTTCTGATTTCCGGATAACGGGTTCTGCACTGTATTTAGTGATAACTATTTTCTGCTTCAAGTGCTACCTTAAATTAAACATTTTGAAACTATTATTAGGCAACATAACTTTAACAATGCATTAGTTTAAAAACTAGAGCAAACATATTTTGAAATTCTTTATGCCGTATTAATACATACATATGATTCAGCTAAAATTAAAAGACAAAAGTTAAATTTGATAAAAACAAAATTAAACTTTTGTAATAATTGTTGTCAATTAGGAAAAATTACGACATAATAAATATTTAAAAGTTAAGATAAACTTAAAAAAATGATGGGTTTGAAAGTAAAAAATAATAATAATAAAAAATTTATAAAATTGCAGAAAATAAGTCCAGGCATTGTTTTTTATGTTGTGAAATGAAGGAAATATAGATTTTGAATTCAAAGCAATATATACTTACAAGATGTTAAAGCATAAAGAAGAAATGCAATAGTGTTCATTGCACCATGTTTGTGCACATTAAATAAATCAAGCAATGCCATTATTACAATTCCCAATGCAATAGATAAGAACTGACTGCCGACTCCTATGCAAAAGAAAATATTATAGAAAAACTTAATTACTAAAAAAAATCATGGTAATATTCTTAATCAGATAGTTACACAATTGCATAATGGTTTAGTGTCAATAAATTCGACAATTAATGCATTTTTTGTATAGTAACCTATATGCTCCAATAAGATAAAGATTTTTTTTTTCTTAAGGTAATATGAGAGCTTATAATAATAAGGTCGAGTAATGATGAAATAATGGTCAGCTTGAGTACTTATCGAATAATAGTGAGTTTGAATGGTTAAATAATCATGGATAAGAATATTTTTTCGCTATTCTCTTGTCTAATTTATTCAAAGTTTTGACCTAGCTTCTATGCCATATTCTCCTCGATTACTAGAGAGCTCGATTGGCAGTTTAGTTGCAGCACTTATTCTGCAAGGTTTTGCCTGTTTCTTCGTGTTTCAGGTTCCAGTGAGTTACTGCCTTCTTAGACAAGGACAGACTGTTGGAAGGGCTGACTGCATTTTAAGGATCTTTTTACCTATGTCTCTGGATCTTTTGCCCTAACTCTCCCAGTTAATGGTTTCATTTGGTGGTATGTCATAATTATTTTTTAATTCTCGGGCAAATCCAAACTAAAGTTATTTTAAGAATAATACTGGTAATTATTTGAAGTATATACTAAACTACTGTATAACTAGGTAATGTTGTTAACATGCCAATAAAAGTAATTTGTCTTTTTTTAATGAGTCTATCTTACTCAGAGATGCTATATTTTTAGAAAGGGCTAACAAATGTGAAGTTTTTGAATTACCTTTTTAGCTCATCTAATATTTTCTGAAAAAAGTTTAGTTAAAAACCAAACACCCACACTGAAACATAAGTTTTATTAATTAAGTGTAAATTTAGAGTCTCAATATCTTAAGAATATTTTATTCACACATAAAATGAAACCTAAACTTTAATCTTGTCAGAATGTTCACCTGTTTCTCAAAATATTTCCTTTCTCAATTTAAATAATGTAACCACTTTCTAAACTGTTACAAAAATGTCAATTTGTTACAAACCTAATATAGCACAGAAAAGACTTCTACAGGGTGGGAAACGGAAAACATCTCCACGAATGATTTTCCATCCATATTCATCACATTCTAAACTATCCACATCGTCAACATCAACATTATAACGAGCAAAATCATTTCTCAAAACTCTTGCCTAAAATATAAAAGTACAATTGAAACAAACTATAACCCTTATCAGGCTTTGAATATATTCAAGTTTAGAAACATGCATATATTGAAACATATATATACACACATGTATATACAGTGAAACCTCCTGTTATGGACACTCCTACGAAACGGACGCCTCTCAATACACATACATATTTCTAATTCCCCATGAATCTTCTATGAATAAACCCTTATATTCATTTTCCACAAAGGGGACACTCCCGTAATCGGACACGGACAGTCATCTTTGCCCTGAAACGTTATTTTCTATCTCTTTAAATCAAACTCTATTATTTCTAAATTTGAAAAAAATATCTGCTTTCAATTGCAAGAAAAAAGTATGCAACTTCTCACTATTTTTAAAGCATGTAAATTTTCTTCCTTATCAATAACTAAAAATCTTGTTAAGCTTAATCTATTTCACTACTAAGGAATCAATCTAAATCTTATTAAAATATCTATTAAAGCCAGTGCTCAGAAAGTCCTGGAAGAATGCCATCCCAAATTTGTGTAACGGAACAGGGCGTAGAGCAGTGGATGCCTAGCTACCAGACATGACTGCTTAAGAAACCTCTTTATAGACTCAAAATTGCTTCTTCCCCGATATGCACTCTGTGCAGCACTGGAGAGGTCATGGAATCTGCACATCTACTCTACTGTCCTGCTCCAGGCAAGACTTTTCTCGCCAAACATTATTTGGGGGCTAGAGATATGCCAGATTAATGAACTCTGTTTCAGCATTTTTTGCCGTACTCTGAGTTCTTTCTTTTATTGTTTTCTGCTGTAACTGTTTATAATCTTCCATTAGAAATAAAAAAAATCTTTCTCCAGGCACATTGCCTTAGCTTTGTAAAGAAAGAAAAGAAAATGATACTGCTCATTTGGACGGCGGTATCTTTTGATCTTCTCATCTGAACGACACAAGTTAAGAGACTCCACAAGCTGAAATGACGTCTTAAATTATCTCAATGCTTCTTCCCCACTGAAAATGTCTTTCAGTTTCTTATAAATTTGAAGACTGTATTAACACAGCTAGGGTAAAAAAGTGAACAGAAATTTATTCTTTTAGGGATTCATACGAATGAAACATTTATTCAGACACTTGATAGTTGATTAGTTGAAAATATATTAACTCCATAGGTCCTCATACCTTACAGGTAAGCATTGATTTCTTTTGTTTTCTGTGAATCGCAGAAGGTTTACTATCTAGGAGGTATTAACCACGTTTCATATCAAGTTAGGGGTAGGTGTTAAGGGATGTAAACATAATAATTGAAACCAACTGAGGACTAAAAGATCCTATTCAGTATCATATGCCTAACTTAATATCTGTGTTAGTAGGAAAATTATATTCAATAATCTGTAGCTCTATCCAGAAATACATATTTATATCAATCTTTTTCATATATTATTTTTATATAGAAAAAAATATTTTTAAAGCATAAATAAATATCTTTTTAGATAGTTATTATAGATTACTTAATTTATTTCTATATGATTGAAAATGTGAAACAATCTAAGAACAATTTACGGTGTTAAACTTTGTTATTAGGGTACCCTTCCCGTTAAACGGACAATTTTTTTGATCCCAAGAGTGTCCACTTAACTGATGTTTCACTGTATATATATATTGCACTTCAAAATATCACAGCAAATTTTGAAACTCCTTTTCATGACATAAAAAACTGTCCAAATTAATAAGAATGTAAGCAACTTACTAATATTACTATAACAAATCCAGTCAACAACATAACCAGAACGGCAGAGTTAATAACAGAGAGCCAATGAATCTACAAAAATATAATAATTAATTAAACTTTGGGTTCATTAGTTAACATAATTATGCTCATTTTAAAGGTAAATATCAATGCAATCAAAACATTTTAGAACAGCTAAATTATATTGTATTAATTTTAAATGTATTACTTAATGTTCCACAAATTGCATACATCTGCACTGTATCAAATCCATATTAAAAAACTTAACTGTATGCTTAACTACAGGTATGAAAAGAATGTGTTTCTATTTGGTTTTGTAAAAGCAAAATTAAAAATTATTTATTGATGCTAAAACAACAAAATGCAGATCTTTCAAACTCATGATAAATAAAAGTTATCTTATTTGATTAAAAACTTCATTCACTTCAAAATAAAACAAATTGGAAATTGTAGTGTATATATTAAGGTGCTCAAAAATAGACATCCATTTTGATATATGTGAATGAGATGAATGAAATGAATTTTCAAAGCAAATAAAGGTTTTCATCAAATAATATTTGACCGTTTCAGTTTCTAGGGATTATTTTTTATAATTTTTTAAATAAATTTTTACAATCCAAAAAAAAATTTATTGAAAAATATAATAGGTGTGAGAAGTTCTACCATTTAAAAAAATGCTTTATTGTTTAATTTTTTCTTAAAAGGAAAATAAGTCTGGTTGTTAATATGATCCAAAAAATGGCAATAGTTAAATATTTATGAATGTTGTTGTATTTTGATACTAAACTGATTTTAAATATTCATAAATGCAGGTAAAAAAAAAATTGTGTTTAGTTCTTTAATTGCATTTACATGAAGTTAAAAAAATATAAAATCCTCCTAGAAAGTTAGATCTTTAAACATTTCTTCTACTGGTAAATCTTAAAGATGTTTTAAGACAGTAGTTATGGAAAAATTTATTTTTTAAATTAAATAGCTAATAAAATGTTAGGAAAATAAAAATTAGAGAAACTGGAAATTTTATGGCAACAGCTTCATGGGACATAAAATTCCTAACATTTAGCTGGCAAAGTGAAAAAACATTTTAATTAAAAAAAAAAAAATAAATAAAAATAAACACATTCATTCATTCTTTCAAACACTAATTTTTATGGCTTTCATCCATAATTCAGTGAAATTGTATAATTATGTAGATTATTTACCTCTAAAGTTTTCGGGAAAAAAGATGAGTTCAATGATTTTTGCATTCGTTCACTATAAGTTTCTCTAAAAAGGAGATAAATAAATGTCAAAATGTATACTAAGTCGATTATAAATGTACCAAAAAAATCATCTTCTCACATTTGCCTCAAAATTGGTGTACAATTTTAATAGTTCAGGAGAAATTTTGTTTTCATTAAACTTCATGCGGGAAAATTTTTCAGAACAAATAAGTTTTCGGTAGCAACTTTTTTAATAAAATTTTTTGACTTCAGTTGATTATAATCAGAGATGCAAAACCTGTTTTAACAGCAGGTCACAAAACCTAAAATACCCTATATGTAAGGTAAAACTGTAATAGTAAAACTTCAAGGTAAATTTATATTCTAATTGAGTTGTTGTAGTTAATTTACGTCGCACTAGAGCTGCACGATGGGCTACTGGCGACGGTCTGGGAAGCACCCCTGAGGATGAGCCGAAGACATGCGATCACAATTTTATATTCTAATTGAGAAAAACATGTATATACATAGTTTCTATTATTATTCTAAACATAAATATTTTCTAATAAATTTTCTATTAGTTCATTTTAAGTATCAATTCAAGTCATAAACTTTAGGAGCTATTTTCATTCCATAATCCATAGGATGTGCATCCTTGATTATAATGTGCTATTATTACCACTGTAAGACATTAAATATTAAAAAAAAATCTTAATGAAAGGAATCAGGCAAAATATAACAAGATGAACAAAGATTTTGTGACTAGCATACAGGTCAGCATTAGAATCAAAGGAGGTCACTTTAAAATTTTATATAAATAGGTAATTGAGCATAATGTTTTCACAATTATTTGAAAGTTGAGCTGTTTTATAATAATCAGGATTTAAAACTATGGTGCATTTGTGTCCAAGTTATTTCTTATCATCCTTAGATTTTAATCTACTTTTACAGGACTCAAATCAATATTTACATTTAATACTTTGAAAATATTAAACTTACTTAGTTTCAACCCAATTAACAGAATAAGTATGAGTGACAGAGATGGGAGCTGTTACATCATTCAAACTAAATGGTGGACTCCCAACATTAGATACATTTGCAGAAATGATCTTAAAATAAAAATATTCAAATAAATCATAATCATGAAAATTAAAACACTTATTTTATAAACATATCTGAAATTTTTTTAATAATAATTTATGAGTTATTTCTTTCAATAAGATTGGAAGTTGTAAGATATACAACAAAACAAAAAATGTTGCACACAAGCTTAAAGCAGTATTTATTAATGCCTTTCAAGCATAATGTTATACAATATCACAATTCAAATTTATTAAATTTGAGATTTAGTCACTAACTATAAAAAAGAATGAATGTATCATATAAAGAGGCCCAAGCCAGAATGCAGCTATATGTTGCACAAACTCAAAGCAAGAAATTTGCAAGAATACATATAGAAGGTAGTAATAGTAATACTTTATTTACGTCAGTAGCATCCCTGGGGATGATCCAAAGATATGCCATCACAATTTTGATCCTCTACAGAGGAGATAGCTCTCCTCCTTTGGCAATCCAACCACCTACGTGTGAAGTCAAGCATTTAACGGTAGAACAGTTTAATGAGGACCAATACTTCACACCCTCAGCCCCTTCACAGACCGATCAAAGTGGTCACCTACAAATGATGTCAAACAACAAGAAAGAAAAAAAGTTGAAACATCATCATGGTTCCTTGAGATTCTGGAGCCTGTATAAATCTAACAAAGATAAACCCTCAGCACAATTCATTAAATCAATCAAAAACAGAATTAGCAAAAATATTTCATTAAAGAAAAGGTTAATAAGAAATGCATTTGACTGAAAGAGGGTTTTTTTAATTGTCAGAATACTGAACAGATAGGGGATAAAGATTTTTTTCACAATATTAAAAAATTAAGATTTCAAAGTTAGGCTTAATGAGGACAGGCTGAATAGCAAACACATTAGAGTGGTGATTATCTGGACCAAATGTGTCCAAAGCCGATCCGGATTGCTAAAAATCCAGATAATTAGACAACGTTTAAAAAAACGGTTATGAAAATATTATAGAGTAACTTCTCTTCACATGTTTCGTAGGCTTAGGATTGGCAATAGTAGTAGAGCCTATGATAGAGCCTTAAAATGATTTAACTTAAATACTTAAAAGATTTAACTTTTGTAACAATTTATTTTTTACAAAATTACATATCAAAATCAGTTTCAAAACTGAGAGAGAGAGAGAACACTTAAAAGCATGTTTCACCTCTTTTTTTCTTATTCTTGGAAAAAAGAAGAAATGAGTTTCCTTACTATAAACTACTGGGCAGTTGTCCCCCACTTATAAACTAAAGAACAAATGAGAGGTTTTTTTCAATGTTATCAAATAAATAAAAGGAAACCATGTTTTTACCCTCTTTAGATAGTATGAAAATAAAGAAGCATTTTCGCAAAAAAAATTGCTTTTTTTGGGGAGGGGGGAGATGGATAACAATCTGGATAATTGGAAAACCTGGTAAATCGGCGTTTGGATAATCGACGCTCTACTGTACCTAATAATATTAAAGATTATAATTACCTTGTTATTATTATACATTATATTAAAAGTTAAGTGTGTCCAAAGATATATCTTATGAGAATGAGGCAAAAATCCTTTCTCTTCCAAGTGACCAATGAAACCATGAAGAGGAAGATCGTCTAAAACATTGAAAAACATTTATGAAAAATAACAGTTATATTGTTAAAGAAAACATTCTAAAAAAAAGTTTATAGAACTACTTACCAATTATAAATTCAAAATAATAAAGATCTTCTATAGCGTCTTTAAGCTGATTTAAATCTTTATCACTAAGGGTTAGTGAACATAGCTTCTCATTTTTCAAAGGAACTAAAAAGTAAAATATTTTTAGATAAGAAAAATATACTCAATTTTAAGACTTCTTAGTTATTTCATAGCAAATTGTTAATAAATATTAAAAGTCTTCTAATGCTCTTATAAGTTAACAATGATCTACATGGTGTCTTTTATACAATAGGACCCTGATATATCATTTCCCATAGGACCATTCATTGTGAATGATAGATACGAGAAAACGATGAACGTGGGCAAAAATAAAAAAACAAATAATGACTTGAAAACGTATGAAAAGTAATAAAAAAGCAATATACTTGGAAATTAATAATTAAAAAAAATTTTTAATAAAGAAAAAGTATGTATTTAATGCAGAAATATTTACTATGCAAATGTAAGCTGAAGAAACACATTTATGCAAAATATTTGGAAATTTTAGTTTGAACACTCTCTTTTCTTTGTATCGCAAACATTTTTAAAGAATTGCTGTACATTTTTTAAAAGTTCTCGTGATTACAGAAAGTCCCTTATTCTTCCAAAGGTTTTTAGGCTATCCAGAAATCTTGCATTTGTTGTGGTTCCGTTTTGCCATCCTCATCGACGTCACCTAACACTTTTTCAGCTTTTCTAACCACTTCTTGAATAGTCAACACTTCAAGTTTCAACGTCTTCATCAAATAATGCATAATCATTTAAAGCCCTATTGAGTGCATCATTGGCATCAGAATTATCATTTTTCTTCACAAAACAAAATAACATGATGGTAGAATTTCCGAACTACAGACACGGGAACAAATTTGAAAATTTATCTGAACTTCAATTATTGGCATTATAAGAATAATATAATTGACAAGACTGCTAAGACAGGACAATGCATATGGGAAAACGAAAGATGGGGGAATGATGATCAAGATTTGACTGTATATGAGTTGTCATAAACTAGAACAAAAGTCTAACTAAACAGTACAAAGATGTACGTTTATACTTTGCAATGAACCAAAATAATAACTGAAATTATATCTAATAGAATGAAAGATGAGATCATGTGAATCTATTGATTTACCCAATAGATTCACATAATGTGCTAATACTAATATCTATCTAAATAATATCTGGTTTAATTTTCAAATGCAATGTGAAATCATTTTACAATAAGATTAAATAAAAACAACAATAAATAAAAAAGGAGAATTTTGATGAAATTTTAAGGTAATAAAAGATTTAAGATAAATTATATTGAAAAAAGGGGAAAATAAATACTAAACCTAAAATGTGATATTAAACTTATAATTTTTTTTTACAAAAATAAATGACTAACTCTATCTAAAGAATAAAATTTTAATACACAAATTAAAAAGGAAAGTTTTAATTAATTTTTTGAGAACATGCAATGATCCTATCTTTACTTTAGAACATAATAACTAATGAATTTTTTACAATTACAAAGAGTATTGAGTATTATGGAATATATTGTTGCTATTATTGTGAAAAAAATATAGCTTATTATATTAATGATGATTTATACAGGATTACTTACAACTTTTAAATTTAGAAACTCATAAAAACATTTTGTTATTTATAAACCCATTAATGTTTTACATAACCTTATATATTGAAATGCTAATTTAATAAATGCAATTTTATTCAAATAATAAATAATTACCAAGTAACTACTAAATCTCCATTTATTTTTTTAACGGTGAACACTAAAGAATAATAAGATACCTTTAAAAGAAATGTTATACATTGATATAGCCATCCTATCACCTTCCAAAACTTCACCTAAAGTTAAACTTTTGTGCTCAATCTAAATAAGAGAATAGAAAAAAAATATGGATATTAGAAATCTTTCAATAAATAACATATAATATGCAAATTGTTGAGGAAAAAAGAAAACATATAGAGAGTTAAAAAATTTTAAACTTAAGAAATTTTTTGATATTATTAGATTAACTTATACAAAAGTCTTCTTATTTTTTGCTCAACAATAACCTTTATTATAAAATTTGGTGTACCTCAAATTGAAAAACACATTTATAATGATTAAAATAAAGAATGGTGTAAAAAAAAAATATTTGTACTAAAAATTTCATTTTAATTAAGCAGGTGCACAACAGAAATGAAGCTTTTATCAATAATGGAAGTTTTCTTGGATTAAGTTTTATTCATTAACGGAAAAATTTTTTATTACACAATGTAAACATGGTAAATGGTATAAAACATAAAATACAATTTCATTACAATAAAATAATTATGCATTTAATGAGGGAGTCCCTTAAATTGCACTTTAACCCATGCACTAAAATGCCACCAATTATAATTTAAATGAGCATAAATGCTCAGCAAAATGTATAATGATAAACATTCATAGAATTTTAAATTTTATCTATCCCCTTCTAATAGTTTTTAAACAATTATTTAGTGACACATTAACAAATTTAAATATATTGTTTCAAACCGTATGTTCTAATTAGAACTTGATTTTTTATCATTTATCAGAAAAGCAACTATTTGGCAATGAAATTTATCCAATTTGTTCTAATGAAACAAGTCTGACTAAGTGTTGCTTTTAACATTAATTATTATTAAGAAAAAAGAAACCCATGTGCTAAAATGAACCCAATCATGCCACAAGAAACACAATCATGCCACATATCCAAACATTTCTCTCAAACAAAGCTAGAGAATAATATCCTCCACATACAATAGCAGGCAAGAAAAAATATATTATACATAGACAATGAAAACATTTTATAATAACAGTTTGCAAAAAGAAAGATTTTATATCATTGCAAAATCAGCATACTTTTTCAGGTCTGCATACAGGTAACTGATAATAATGATAAGTTTCATGAGGATTAAAATAAGGTCCAACTTTATTTACATACAAGATGACCTAAAAGGAAAAAAAAGAGAACATTTTAAAAGGACAAAATAGATTATAAGGGGTTTAAAATAAACAATTAATTAAAAAAGAAAATACTCACCTGACAAGAAACGAAAAAATTAAAGTCAAATATCGAAAATAATATAATTTATGCTTCATTTCTTATATATAGCTTTTACACTTAAAAAACGAAAACTGTTAAATTGAAATTTCTTCATATAAATGAAACAAAATACATAAAATAAATATTTAAATTTAAAAAAAAAACTAAAGAATTAATGAAAAGAAAAAACAGACAAAAGGTGAATTAGCATAGCTACTGCAATAATAGTACCAAACTGGGAATCATACTTAAAATTATACCAAACAAGGATCTAAATTTAACAAACATAAAAACAATACATTAAAGTTTGAAAAGATTCACCACGTGCATACTGCTAAAGACAAGACAGTTTATGTTAGAAAGACTAAGAAAACTTACCTCGCAAAATGTAACACCACTTTAAAAAATGGTAGTATAAACCCTGATTTTGCTACTTTTTTTTAAAGTAATTAGCCAATTTTGCAACTGATTTTTAAAAAAAGAAAGCAAGCCCTACTTCCAAGTTAAGTAATTAACAACTAATAAATGTTTAACTTCAAGATTAAAATTTATTTTAGCCTCTTTGAAAACAGATCAGTTAGATACCAGCATAGTTTTGGTGGTACTCTTTTTTGTACCGACTTAATAAAATTTCTTTTCTCAAAATTACATTTAAATTTTAAAAATGCAGAATATAAACAAGTGGTAAAAATACAGAGAAAAGTTAGTTATATGAAGTATATATATATAT